CTGCGCTCAAGGGAGTACAGATTTAGGCTCTTTAGTCGGTCCCAGTAATTTAGATGTTTTACTGAGTGGATTCTAGCAGTAAAGGATCTCTGCACGCTCTCCAGGTCAGCAATTTCTCCAGCTATGAAAGGGGCTGTCATTGTGCAGCAGTACTCCACTCTAGAGAGCACAAGCGTTTTGAAAAGTATCATCATCGTATAGGATCTCTAGTGTGAAAAGTTCTTGTTATCCAACCTGTCATTTTTCTTGCAGTTGTGACGGCTACTTTATTGTGTTCTTTAAAGGTAAGGTCTTCCGACATGAGTACACCCAGATCCTTTACATTGCCTTTTCGTTCTATGTTATGATTTGCCTGAGTTTTGTACGTGGTTTCCGTTTTTATATTTTCAATTTTTCCATAGCGCATGAGCTGGAACTTATCCTCGGCTACGTCCTCGGCTTATCCTCGGCTACGTCCTCGGCTTATCCTAGGCCAGTGGGCTACGTCTGTGGGACACTTTCTCTATACGTTGGAGTCTCAAGGAGGGAATGACTTGTTTGTCACCTCGGGAAATGGTTTGAATGGGATACGAACCGAAGTTGTCGCAAAGATGTTGCCATCTAAGACGAGGTAGAGGGAGGGAGGAGAGGGAGGTAAGAGGCAACAGAGAAATTGTCTACTTTTTGCCAGTGAAGAGAGTAACGGGTGATGGGTAGGGGGATTAGGGGAGGGTGATGGGTAGGGGGATTAGGGGAGGGTGATGGGTAAGTAGGAGCGGTTAGTGTGTGCAGTTGTGTAAGTGTGGACAGGTTGGCGGCCCTGTTGTCGCCCTTCCCTATCATGCGCGGCCAGGCGCGGGGTGGGCCAGGAGCGAGGTGGGCCAGGCGCGGGGTGGGCCAGGCGCGGGGTGGGCCAGGAGCGAGGTGGGCCAGGCGCGGGGTGGGCCAGGCGCGGTATACTAGCCAGAGAACAAACAAAACGGCTCCTTTACATATTGGTCTTACCTAACGCTGACGTTAGACATTTTCTCAAATATAAATTAATATTGTTGACCAGACCACACACTAGAAGGTGAAGGGACGACGACGTTTCGGTCCGTCCTGGACCATTCTCAAGTCGATGGATGTACTCGATCGACTTGAGAATGGTCCAGGACGGACCGAAACGTCGTCGTCCCTTCACCTTCTAGTGTGTGGTCTGGTCAACATACTTTAGCCACGTTATTGTAACTCATCGCCTGCATAAATTAATATTATAATATATTAGCATATTGTGCACATTTAGGCACTGGTTAGGTTAGGTTAGGTTAGGTTAGGTTAGGTTAGGTTAGGTTAGGTGTTTAGGTTCTGTTCTTCATTATGTGTAGAACGCGGGTGAAGCATTTACAGCGGTGTGGTTCGAACAAAAGCCGTCAGTGAAGCACTGGTTCCGGAAGTGTTCGAAGGTCATGATTGTGAGTCGTGTGTAAACCGTTTTTCATTCATAAATAGCTGAGGTTGGCGGATGGATGGAATGGATTGTGGCCTTTGTTTATGAGAACGGGCTCGATTGACAGTCTGTCCACCCAGTCGTCGAAGCATTTATCGAATAGTGCTTCGCTGACGTCCTGTGTTCGAATCTCACCTCCATAATTCAGCCCGTCCTCCAAACAAAGATCCAAAAGTGATTCCATCCACACGCCAACCCCCCTGTTTATGAATGAAAAGCGGTTTACACACGACTCACAACTGATTTCGTTCGAACACATCCGGAACAAGTGCTTCACTGACGAGTTTTGTTCGAATCACAACGCTATAAATGCTTCACCCACGTACTACAAATACAAATAATCGCCAACAGAACCTAAACACCTAACCTAACCTATCCTATGCCTATATATACACAATATGAAAATATATTATAATATTAATTTATACTTGAGAAAATTCCCGTTTTGAATGAACAGGATGTTAAAATTTATGAATGCGTCTGTGGGGTTGACCGCTGAATGTAATGGACTTGAGTCGAGGACGGGTTGCATAATTGCTTTACCCGCGTACTACAAATACAGATAATCGTCAACACAACCTAAACACCTAACCTAACCAATACTTAAATATGCACAACATGTTAATATATAATAATAATCATTTATATTTGAGAAAATTCCTTTTTTGAATGAACAGCATGTAAAAATTGTTGTATGCGTCCGTGGGGTCGACCGCTGGATGTAATGGACTTGGTCCGAGGACGGGTTGGGGTGGAGCGTGGCGTTGAAAACACTTCATATACGCCGTTGGAGTCACCATTGGGCTCACCCGGTGTTCCATCTGAATGAACTGTGGGAAAGACTTTCGTAACATGTTACGTAATACGTTAAAACTGGAAGATAAATGTGTGTGTTTTATTCCACTTGCGTACGTCGCCACCATGTTCGAGCCCCCAGGCTTCACGGGTATCGAACTGAGTCTCCTCGACTGTCGGCCAACTCTTGTTTGCAGTGATATATGGGCAGGCTGGATGGCCGTTGGCTGGATGGGCAGGCCGTTGTGTTGTGTCAGTAAACAGTAGCAGAGGATATTGTCATTATGGGGCGCTACACACTGCACGATAGCCATCAAAGGTAAACACACATGATCAAAACCCGCCTTCCCTTGACGGTCGATGGCAGCTACAAAAGGGACTATTTAGTGCTGCTTGTGGCACGTGCAGGTGCACCGGTGTGCAGGTTGGGGGGGGGGGAGCGGGAGTAACGGAGGTGTTTAGCAACATTTCAACATTGGGCGGAGTGTTGGCATGTGAACACCTGAACATTCCTCGCGGGACCACAGCCACTGGCCTCCCACATGAGGCGTCTCAGACTCTCACACATTGTTCATGATCTCCCTTTTCTCCTGTAGGTCTCCTGGTGGCGGGACTCCCTCAGTCCTGCTGCCATTCATCATTCATTCATCAGCCATTCATCGACGGCATTCATCAATTTTAATATGCTACTTGTTCAGTAGCACTGAACGACTTAACTGCGTTGTTCAACTAACGCGACTCTAGTTCTTGAAAAGTGATTTTTCCCCCTACATTTCACTACAATCCATTAATTGGATTGTAGTTGCAACTATGGAGGCTTGTCCACGACACACCTGCCTGTGGTCCCCTTGTCCACGACACACCTGCCTGTGGTCCCCTGTCCACGACACACCTGCCTGTAGTCCCCTGTCCACGGTACACCTGCCTGTGGTCCCCTGTCCTCGACACACCTGCCTGTGGTCCCCTTGTCCACGACACACCAGCCTGTGGTCTCCTGTCCACGACACACCTGCCTGTGGTCCCCTGTCCACGACACACCTGCCTGTGGTCTCCTGTCCACGACACCTGCCTGTGGTCCTGTGGCCTCCCCTGTCCACGACACACCTGCCTGTGGTCCCCTGTCCACGACACACCTGCCTGTGGTCCCCTGTCCACGACACACCTGCCTGTGGTCCCCTGTCCACGACACACCTGCCTGTGGTCCCCTGTCCACGACACACCTGCCTGTGGTCCCCTGTCCACGACACACCTGCCTGTGGTCCCCTGTCCACGACACACCTGCCTGTGGTCCCCTGTCCACGACACACCTGCCTGTGGTCCCCTGTCCACGACACACCTGCCTGTGGTCCCCTGTCCACGACACACCTGCCTGTGGTCCCCTGTCCACGACACACCTGCCTGTGGTCCCCTGTCCACGACACACCTGCCTGTGGTCCCCTGTCCACGACACACCTGCCTGTGGTCCCCTGTCCACGACACACCTGCCTGTGGTCCCCTGTCCACGACACACCTGCCTGTGGTCCCCTGTCCACGACACACCTGCCTGTGGTCCCCTGTCCACGACACACCTGCCTGTGGTCCCCTGTCCACGACACACCTGCCTGTGGTCCCCTGTCCACGACACACCTGCCTGTGGTCCCCTGTCCACGACACACCTGCCTGTGGTCCCCTGTCCACGACACACCTGCCTGTGGTCCCCTGTCCACGACACACCTGCCTGTGGTCCCCTGTCCACGACACACCTGCCTGTGGTCCCCTGTCCACGACACACCTGCCTGTGGTCCCCTGTCCACGACACACCTGCCTGTGGTCCCCTGTCCACGACACACCTGCCTGTGGTCCCCTGTCCACGACACACCTGCCTGTGGTCCCCTGTCCACGACACACCTGCCTGTGGTCCCCTGTCCACGACACACCTGCCTGTGGTCCCCTTGTCCACGGCACACCTGCCTGTGGTCCCCTGTCCACGGTACACCTGACTGCGGCCACTGTCCACGACACACCTGACTGCGGCCACTGTCCACGGTACACCTGACTGCGGCCACTGTCCACGGTACACCTGACTGCGGCCACTGTCCACGACACACCTGACTGCGGCCACTGTCCACGACACACCTGACTGCGGCCACTGTCCACGACACACCTGACTGCGGCCACTGTCCACGACACACCTGACTGCGGCCACTGTCCACGACACACCTGACTGCGGCCACTGTCCACGACACACCTGACTGCGGCCACTGTCCACGACACACCTGACTGCGGCCACTGTCCACGACACACCTGACTGCGGCCACTGTCCACGACACACCTGACTGCGGCCACTGTCCACGACACACCTGACTGCGGCCACTGTCCACGACACACCTGACTGCGGCCACTGTCCACGACACACCTGACTGCGGCCACTGTCCACGACACACCTGACTGCGGCCACTGTCCACGACACACCTGACTGCGGCCACTGTCCACGACACACCTGACTGCGGCCACTGTCCACGACACACCTGACTGCGGCCACTGTCCACGACACACCTGACTGCGGCCACTGTCCACGACACACCTGACTGCGGCCACTGTCCACGACACACCTGACTGCGGCCACTGTCCACGACACACCTGACTGCGGCCACTGTCCACGACACACCTGACTGTTGGCTGTTCGCCCCAAAGGTGAATCGCATATATTCATAAAGCATCCAACTTTCTTAATATTTAAAATGAGTCAAAATAGTAGTCATGTGTTCCACACCCACCCGACCCGAGCTGGCCACACCTCGGGTACACTGAGGGCCACACCTCGGGTACACTGAGGGCCACACCTCGGGTACACTGTGGGCCACACCTCGGGTACACTGAGGGCCACACCTCGGGTACACTGAGGGCCACACCTCGGGTACACTGTGGGCCACACCTCGGGTACACTGTGGGCCACACCTCGGGTACACTGAGGGCCACACCTCGGGTACACTGTGGACCACACCTCGGGTACACTGTGGGCCACACCTCGGGTACACTGAGGGCCACACCTCGGGTACACTGTGGGCCACACCTCGGGTACACTGTGGGCCACACCTCGGGTACACTGAGGGCCACACCTCGGGTACACTGTGGGCCACACCTCGGGTACACTGGGGGCCACACCTCGGGTACACTGTGGGCCACACCTCGGGTACACTGTGGGCCACACCTCGGGTACACTGGGGGCCACACCTCGGGTACACTGTGGGCCACACCTCGGGTACACTGTGGGCCACACCTCGGGTACACTGAGGGCCACACCTCGGGTACACTGGGGGCCACACCTCGGGTACACTGGGGGCCACACCTCGGGTACACTGTGGACCACACCTCGGGTACACTGTGGGCCACACCTCGGGTACACTGTGGGCCACACCTCGGGTACACTGAGGGCCACACCTCGGGTACACTGAGGGCCACACCTCGGGTACACTGAGGGCCACACCTCGGGTACACTGAGGGCCACACCTCGGGTACACTGGGGGGCCACACCTCGGGTACACTGAGGGCCACACCTCGGGTACACTGAGGGCCACACCTCGGGTACACTGAGGGCCACACCTCGGGTACACTGAGGGCCACACCTCGGATACACTGAGGGCCACACCTCGGGTACACTGAGGGCCACACCTCGGGTACACTGAGGGCCACACCTCGGGTACACTGAGGGCCACACCTCGGGTACACTGAGGGCCACACCTCGGGTACACTGAGGGCCACACCTCGGGTACACTGAGGGCCACACCTCGGGTACACTGGGGGCCACACCTCGGGTACACTGGGGGCCACACCTCGGGTACACTGAGGGCCACACCTCGGGTACACTGTGGGCCACACCTCGGGTACACTGTGGGCCACACCTCGGGTACACTGTGGGACACACCTCGGGTACACTGTGGGACACACCTCGGGTACACTGTGGGCCACACCTCGGGTACACTGTGGGCCACACCTCGGGTACACTGTGGGCCACACCTCGGGTACACTGTGGGCCACACCTCGGGTACACTGGGGGCCACACCTCGGGTACACTGTGGGCCACACCTCGGGTACACTGGGGGCCACACCTCGGGTACACTGGGGGCCACACCTCGGGTACACTGGGGGCCACACCTCGGGTACACTGAGGGCCACACCTCGGGTACACTGAGGGCCACACCTCGGGTACACTGGGGGCCACACCTCGGGTACACTGGGGGCCACACCTCGGGTACACTGGGGGCCACACCTCGGGTACACTGTGGGCCACACCTCGGGTACACTGTGGGCCACACCTCGGGTACACTGGGGGCCACACCTCGGGTACACTGGGGGCCACACCTCGGGTACACTGAGGGCCACACCTCGGGTACACTGAGGGCCACACCTCGGGTACACTGTGGGCCACACCTCGGGTACACTGAGGGCCACACCTCGGGTACACTGGGGCCACAGAAGCAGACTCTACTATTTGTTGCAACAATAAGTTTCTTTTTCTAAGGTATGACACATTACGATGCATCATGACACAAGATATGGGGGGGTGGTGGTGCTGGTAGGGGGTGCGGGTGGGGGAGGTGGTGAGGGGTGGGGGAGGTGGTGCTGGTGGGGGAGGTGGTGGTCGTGGTAGTAGGGGTTCAGCCCGTCCTCGAAAAAAATTATGTGCTGTTCCTAGCAGTCAGGAATTGTACTTATTTTCACTTAGTATTAAACCGCACTGTCAAATATATTGTGAATATTTGAGTTTACCTGAAAAACTGAATAGAAAACCACGACCTAACCTAACCTTCTTAGTGTTTGAGGATAAGCATTTTATTGCTTCTTAATTACAATTAGTACTTAACCTATTGTTATATTGATATTACAGTTTTATAAAACTAATAAAACAAAACTAAAATATATAAATAAATTGTGAGGTTGAGGTCGTGGGGGATGTACTTACCTAACAGTGCATACCAATCAGCGTCTTGGAGGAAATGGGGGACTTAGTACTCACCTAGTTGTGCTTACGGGGGTTGAGCTCTGGCTCTTTGGTCCCGCCTCTCAACTGTCAATCAACTGGTGTACAGGTTCCTGAGCCTATTGGGCTCTATCATATCTACACTTGAAACTGTGTATAGAGTCAGCCTCCACCACATCACTTCCTAATGCATTCCATCTATTAACTACTCTGACACTGAAAAAGTTCTTTCTAACGTCTCTGTGGCTCATGTGGGTACTCAGTTTCCACCTGTGTCCCCTTGTTCGCGTTTCACCCGTGTTAAACAGTTTATCTTTGTCAACCTTGTCTATTCCTCATAAAATTTTGTAGGTATTGATCATGTCTCCCCGAGATCTCCTATTTTCCAGTGACATTAGGTGCATTTCCCGCAGCCTTTCCTCATAACTCATGCCTCTAAGTTCTGGGACTAGCCTAGTGGCATACCTCTGAACATTTTCCAGCTTAGTCCTGTGCTTGACAAGGTGCGGGCTCCATGCTGGGCTTGACAAGGTACTTGACTAGGTCTTTCTGCCCCGTCGACCAGCCTTGTTGCACCTGTTGCATTTCACCTTAAGTAATTTGACGTTCAAATCTGACCTTAAAGAGGTGGCTTCCACAACTTTTTTTCAGTGCATTCTACTTGTTAACTCCCATCCAAGCTGCGAGTACTTGTGTGACCAGCTCCCACCTGTGTCCTGGTGTCCTACTTCTCCTAGTCTGAAAAGACTATCCTTGTCCACCTTAGCTATTCCCCTCTAGTATCATGTATGTTGTGATCATATTCCCCTCTGTTCTAGTGTCGTGAAATTTAGTTCCATAAGTGTATCTTCGTAGCTCAGGCCTCTCAGCTCTGGCACCAGTCTTGGTACAAACCTGTGTACTTTTTCAACGTAGGCTTTATGCTTTACAAGATAGAATGCCTCGCTGCTGTCAGGGACAGGGTACTAATGAAGTGAAATGACCGCCATTTTGAAAAGTGGGGGGGAGAGTGAGTTCCATGCTAGTGCTGCGTATTCCAGTCGTAGAGTAGGTGATGGTGATAGGGGAGTGAAGGTGTGGGATATGTGCTAATCCCCCCCCCTGCTCCCCCACCTGCCCAGATGGTGATAGGGGAGTGAAGGTGTGGGATATGTGCTAATCCCCCCCCCTGCTCCCCCACCTGCCCAGATGGTGATAGGGGAGTGAAGGTGTGGGATATGTGCTAATCCCCTCCCCCCTGCTCCCCCACCTGCCCCAGCTGGGGAATCTTCACATCAGTATTAGGGGTTAAGACTGATCAACACTGTAACCTTGTGACAAGTTCAAGGATTAAGTGTTGAAAGGTCCTCACAGCTTTAGCAACACAAGATTTACACCACTAGCTGGACTTGAGGTGTCAAATTTAGGCCTATAGGCAAGCCCTGGAATAGTTGCAGTAATTTGACTACATAGAGAAAGGTCAAATGACGTCAGTGTTGAACTCTTCGCTTGATACTCACCAGTACTACAGTGGGTGTCAACAGAGGCATGATACTCACCAGTACTACAGTGGGTGTCAACAGAGGCATGATACTCACCAGTACTACAGTGGGTGTCAACAGAGGCATGATACTCACCAGTACTACAGTGGGTGTCAACAGAGGCATGATACTCACCAGTACTACAGTGGGTGTCAACAGAGGCATGATACTCACCAGTACTACAGTGGGTGTCAACAGAGGCATGATACTCACCAGTACTACAGTGGGTGTCAACAGAGAGGCATGATACTCACTAGTACTACAGTGGGTGTCAACAGAGGCATGATACTCACCAGTACTACAGAGGGTGTCAACAGAGAGGCATGATACTCACCAGTACTACAGAGGGTGTCAACAGAGAGGTATGATACTCACCAGTACTACAGTGGGTGTCAACAGAGGCATGATACTCACTAGTACTACAGTGGGTGTCAACAGAGGCATGTTACTCACCAGTACTACAGTGGGTGTCAACAGAGAGGCATGATACTCACCAGTACTACAGTGGGTGTCAACAGAGAGGCATGATACTCACCAGTACTACAGTGGGTGTCAACAGAGAGGCATGTTACTCACCAGTACTACAGTGGGTGTCAACAGAGGCATGATACTCACCAGTACTACAGTGGGTGTCAACAGAGGCATGATACTCACCAGTACTACAGAGGGTGTCAACAGAGAGGCATGATACTCACCAGTACTACAGAGGGTGTCAACAGAGAGGTATGATACTCACCAGTACTACAGAGGGTGTCAACAGAGAGGCATGATACTCACCAGTACTACAGAGGGTGTCAACAGAGAGGCATGATACTCACCAGTACTACAGTGGGTGTCAACAGAGGCATGATACTCACCAGTACTACAGTGGGTGTCAACAGAGGCATGATACTCACCAGTACTACAGAGGGTGTCAACAGAGGCATGATACTCACCAGTACTACAGTGGGTGTCAACAGAGAGGCATGTTACTCACCAGTACTACAGTGGGTGTCAACAGAGAGGCATGATACTCACCAGTACTACAGTGGGTGTCAACAGAGAGGCATGTTACTCACCAGTACTACAGTGGGTGTCAACAGAGAGGCATGATACTCACCAGTACTACAGTGGGTGTCAACAGAGAGGCATGATACTCACCAGTACTACAGTGGGTGTCAACAGAGAGGCATGATACTCACCAGTACTACAGTGGGTGTCAACAGAGGCATGATACTCACCAGTACTACAGTGGGTGTCAACAGAGAGGTATGATACTCACCAGTACTACAGTGGGTGTCAACAGAGAGGTATGATACTCACCAGTACTACAGTGGGTGTCAACAGAGAGGCATGATACTCACCAGTACTACAGTGGGTGTCAACAGAGGCATGATACTCACTAGTACTACAGTGGGTGTCAACAGAGGCATGATACTCACCAGTACTACAGTGGGTGTCAACAGAGGCATGATACTCACCAGTACTACAGAGGGAGTCAACAGAGGCATGATACTCACCAGTACTACAGTGGGTGTCAACAGAGAGGCATGTTACTCACCAGTACTACAGTGGGTGTCAACAGAGAGGCATGTTACTCACCAGTACTACAGAGGGTGTCAACAGAGAGGTATGATACTCACCAGTACTACAGAGGGTGTCAACAGAGAGGCATGATACTCACCAGTACTACAGAGGGTGTCAACAGAGAGGCATGATACTCACCAGTACTACAGTGGGTGTCAACAGAGGCATGATACTCACCAGTACTACAGTGGGTGTCAACAGAGGCATGATACTCACCAGTACTACAGAGGGTGTCAACAGAGGCATGATACTCACCAGTACTACAGTGGGTGTCAACAGAGAGGCATGTTACTCACCAGTACTACAGTGGGTGTCAACAGAGAGGCATGTTACTCACCAGTACTACAGTGGGTGTCAACAGAGAGGCATGATACTCACCAGTACTACAGTGGGTGTCAACAGAGAGGCATGATACTCACCAGTACTACAGTGGGTGTCAACAGAGAGGCATGATACTCACCAGTACTACAGTGGGTGTCAACAGAGAGGCATGATACTCACCAGTACTACAGTGGGTGTCAACAGAGAGGTATGATACTCACCAGTACTACAGTGGGTGTCAACAGAGAGGTATGATACTCACCAGTACTACAGTGGGTGTCAACAGAGAGGTATGATACTCACCAGTACTACAGTGGGTGTCAACAGAGAGGCATGATACTCACCAGTACTACAGTGGGTGTCAACAGAGGCATGATACTCACTAGTACTACAGTGGGTGTCAACAGAGGCATGATACTCACTAGTACTACAGTGGGTGTCAACAGAGAGGTATGATACTCACCAGTACTACAGAGGGTGTCAACAGAGAGGCATGATACTCACCAGTACTACAGTGGGTGTCAACAGAGAGGCATGATACTCACCAGTACTACAGTGGGTGTCAACAGAGGCATGATACTCACTAGTACTACAGTGGGTGTCAACAGAGAGGTATGATACTCACCAGTACAACAGAGGGTGTCAACAGAGAGGCATGATACTCACCAGTACTACAGAGGGTGTCAACAGAGAGGCATGATACTCACCAGTACTACAGTGGGTGTCAACAGAGGCATGATACTCACTAGTTCTACAGTGGTTATCAACAGAGGCATGATACTCACTAGTACTACAGTGGGTGTCAACAGAGAGGTATGATACTCACCAGTACTACAGTGGGTGTCAACAGAGGCATGATACTCACTAGTACTACAGTGGGTGTCAACAGAGAGGCATGATACTCACCAGTACTACAGTGGGTGTCAACAGAGAGGCATGATACTCACCAGTACTACAGAGGGTGTTAACAGAGGCATGTTACTCACCAGTACTACAGTGGGTGTCAACAGAGAGGCATGATACTCACCAGTACTACAGTGGGTGTCAACAGAGAGGCATGATACTCACCAGTACTACAGTGGGTGTCAACAGAGAGGCATGATACTCACCAGTACTACAGAGGGTGTCAACAGAGAGGTATGATACTCACCAGTA